TATATATATATATATATATATACACATTACACTATTCATTAACATATAGATGTAAAGTGTTTCATAAAAAGAGAATGCATGATATGGAAGAATAATAAACTTATGTATGAATGTTTGTATGTGCATGTTCAGAGGAGTTCACCCTCTAACGATACAGGCAGGGGACACCAATGTACCCGTGATCATAAAGGCTTTTCTACCACCCAGACAAGTGTGATAGTTAGATTACTAACCGTTGTGTCAACGAAATAATATTGGGCAGAGGTCAGTAGACAGTGCTTATCCACCCCAGACAATTGTGATGTTTACATCATTAACCGTTGTATTCACAAGATAATATCAGTCAAGGACAGGTAAGGGTCTTTACACCATGGACAATTATGATGTTTAAATCGCTAACCGTTGTATAGAAGAGATAATATTGGTCAAGGGTATGCTAGATTTTATTGACGGTGATCCTCAAAGAGATAGATTTTTATGTAAAGAGTATAAAGTAAAACAGTAAATGCATATAAAAGATTTGAGTATTTTCATTTAGAAAAAGTCATTGATACATGCATTAGCATATATAAGATTTCTTATAAAATATTAAAGATTAACATATTCCAATATTTCTATAAACATATGAAAGAACATCATGTATATTGAATTTTTTCCCTTGGGTTACTATAGCTTAGAATTATGATTGTTTCTAGGTTATATATAGATAACTCATGTTGCTTTAACTTTTTTTTTTCAAGTTTAAGTTTTTGATTAAAATGAATAGAAGAGGAGATAGTGTGTATGAGGCGAGAACAGTTATTAGAAAGGTACATATTTCTACTTGTTAATTTAGGGTGTGTTTGAAGCAACGTTGTGATGGCGGTGTGGTGCTGCACCGCAGCCTTTTCTGTTTTGCAAAATTGCGCATTGTTTGCATTCTAAAAAAACTGCATCTGAAATTTGTATTTTCACACCAGACCTAGCCACTTGCAGTGGCTGCTAGAAAACTGTGATCTGACTTTTTCAAAAAAATATTTTTTTTTGTAATAGCCGCTGCAACTTCTTTTTCAAAAGCTTCACAGCTGTTTCTTCAAATAACTTTAGCTGGCCCAAATAGATTCTTAATTTCTTTTTTAAGCAGTTTTTCATTTTTTTTTTGAATATTAAATTGTTAGTAATAGAAAAAGGATAATAGAAAAATTTTTTTGCTGCCCGAGCATCGTTCTTGTCTTGGTTAATTTCAATTCCCGGGCTGGATCGTAACATGTTACATGTATAGAAAGGGGATCATAAGCCTACAAGCCATACAAGTAATAATTTTGGTCCGACCTAATTCTTTGGGTCTTTATCGTTCCCTTTTTTCTGCAACGATTGTGAGTGCTCTGGTGGTGTGTCTACTAGACAAATTTAAATCCAACCTGTTTTAAAACATAGTTCAACCATCCCAAAGTTCATAGTAAAATATAACAAAAAAGTTGAAAAATTAGCAAAATGGATCGAAGTGTTGTAAAAAACTAATATCCATATAACATTACCAAAATATAAACTTTGGGTCGAAATGTGATCGTGAGGAATAACCAAATCAGGAGAAATGTGCAATGTTCATTTCTCCTTGATTAATTTCATCAGAACAAGGATTAACCAGGTATCTTTTCACTTTTCATAACAAGAACATTCAAATTTTATTTATGTTTCCTGTGTCTTCAGGCTGAGCTCATATCTGCTGATCTTATGTCATCTATATGTTCGTCAATGCCTATCTTCCCTACTAGAGAAGCCAAAGAACAAGCCAAAATCTTTTCCTTCTGCGCTGCATTAAAATTCCATAAATAATTACTTCCATAAACATTCAAAAGAACCATTCGTGAGAATGAAGCATCATCGTTTTCCAAATATCGTTTTTGTTATCTCGAAACTAGATGATGCTCTGCAACTTCTACAGATTCCTTTTTTCCTAATGCAGGATGGTTCAATCCCCCTACCTCCCATAAAGAGCCCAACTGATGTTTCATCACCCAAGATTGGTAAGCAGGAATCCAAAGAACTCAATAACCACGCTTCCAGGACAGAATCCCCATTGTCCAGCCCAAAGAACATAGTGCTAAAATCCAGTGAAAGTGAAACAGAGGCCAATCAGCGGCCACTGGATGCTATGGAGAGAGCTCAGGCCGCTCTTGCCACAGCTGAGCATGCTTTAGCTGCTGCACGCGCTGCAGCTGAGCTGAGTAAAGTTAAGTTATTTACTCCGGAAAGTCCCAAGCACTTTCATTAATTAGTTTTTTATTCTACTGTAAAATGGTTGACATATATGCTTTTTTCTTCAACTTCATCTTTTTTTGGCTGTGAGGTGTAAATATTATCTTGTGAGCCACTGGGATTTGAATTTTATTGAGAACAGAAAACAATAGAGTGACGTGTTTCTGTTAATATTTTTGCCCAGTATTTATTTATTGGTTTCCAAGTTGTTTGTTTTAACATTCCTGCCATTTGCTTGTATCGCATGGCATGCTTTCTTCTTGGAAGATTTACATGGACGCCACTCAATGCTTATGTATTTACATATTTAGCACCTAAGTATATCTTTATATATATATATATATATATATATATATAGATGTATGTATATAGATGTATGTATGTATGTCACCTAATTTATGCATGAGAAGTGTATTTCACTTTTTGAAAGTTAAAATAATGGTATTTTTTATGATATGAAAGATTTGGGCTGGGTGTAAATATAAAAATTAGAGTATAGGTGTTAGATATGTAAATACATAGAAATTGAGTGGTATGTTTGTAAATGCCCCTTTCTTTTCTGACTGGTTTATCCAGATCGTGGTGGACACGAGTCTGTGGCGGCTGCCGTGGACTTGAAATTAATCAAGCAAATAATTGGAGGAATCTCTTTGCTTCCGTTTTGCTTGTTTATCGCTGAAAGTTAAGAAAAAATCAACGAATTGTGATATATAAAAAAATTGCGTATGAGTATATATTTTATAAGCATGTATATTTTTTTCCTAAATACTTTTACTTTTAATAATATTTTTTATAACATGGTCAATATATTATTTAAATGTCCACGTGCGAAATGATCAGTGTTAAGTTAGTGCATGTTATTGGCCTTAGAATTTTAATAAAATATCAGTGGTTAAAACTACTCTTCCATTGAATACTTGAATAAATATAATTATTTGAGATGCTTCTATAAGATTATTGATTTTCACGCTCTATTTTACTGATGACAAATCATGCTCTTATATATAGAAATATGCAACACAGTCCATTTATTTTTATATATTCTCCGTAATTACATAATAAAAATATTATATTTATAAAGAAATTTATTATTCTATACTAAAATTGTTGAATTCCAGGATTTGGCTGGATTTAGCCGAAAGCTGGTCCTTCATACGAGCGATTATTGTGTACGGATGCCACACGGGATCATCGAAATACATCTTTTTGTTTTTTTTTTTTTATTGTTAGACTGAGACTCATTCTAATTTTTTTACTGTTCAGATTGTATACCGCACGTAAGATTTACGGTGTCCGTATCTAATAATTTTTCTCTTTGGATATCTATTTTCATTAAGAAAACAGGTCGGAGATCAAAGGGGCGTTCTAGAAAGCCTATTTTTTATTTTTTATTTTTATTTTTATTTTAAGGGCTAGTTGTTGAAAATGAGAACACGAGTGTTCTTTTTCAAGGTAGTGGGAGGCTACGGCACTCCAGATGAGAATTGATAAGGACAAATTTTAAATATTTATTTTTATTAAATGCTCTAAATAATTGGATAGATTAAATGACGAAATTGATGGTAAAGTGATGAGAATCCTAAACTTCAAAAAATATCTTTATATAATAATAATTCTGAGAAAATAAATTATCTATTTTTCTATAAGAGGTTTATTTAAGAATTTGACTTTATATGCCTCATAGCTATCTATATCTTAATATGCCCAAAAAAACTTATTTTGGACAAAAATATTTATATTTTGGACCAAAACATAAACGCAAAACGTAGTAGATAATAATTTAAAAGCTAGATATTTGATTAAAGGATTATTGAATCATAATCAAGTCATCTTCATATTATCTTCTGATGAGGATTGAAGTATGATCAAACATTGATCAATAATGGTTGAAGATGAATTAAAGATGGTTGGATCTTTATTCAAGCTCATGTACATACTATGATCGAAGATGAATCAATAATTAAGTAATGCAAGTATTGGATATTGATTGAACATTGGTAAATCATGGTTGAAGATGAAACAATAATTATTTTATATTTGATTATTATTCAAAGATGATTCAAGGATGATATAATCATTATTCCAAGTTAATTAATTATTCAAGTAGCATTTGAAGATTTTTTTTTAAAATGATTTTATCATTATTCAAAAATAATTTAATTATACTTAGAAGATTATTTGATCATTTTTTAAATATTTTTCGATCATTATTAAGAGATTTATTTAGTAATTATTTTTAAAATGCTTTGAACAATGTTCAATCCTTAGTTGATCAATATTAAATCATTATTCAAACAATTATTTGATCATTATTTGATTTTTGATGTAGAGAAAAATCATTATTTTGGTCTTCATCATCCTAAAGTTTAAGTTTATGTACTTAAGATGTATATAATTATATTTATATTATTGGTTTTTTTTATTGATATTATATTTTGGGTTGCATATTATGATTTTGTGTCATGATAATATACCCTAAATAGTATATGTATCACTCAACTCTTATGTCATGGCTCACAAAAAGGATTTCATGTTGTTAGGATAGTGTTAGGTATGATAATAGTGCTAGAGATAATAATGATAATGTTTATCATTGTGGTGATAGGTATGATAGTGATGATATATTTATATATATGAAATAAGGAGGGGAGGTAAAAATCAAGTGAGTTGGACGTAGGTTTATGTATTTGTATCTCTTTATCTCTTTTATAAATGTATAGATACTTTTGTAACATTGAGCATAAGATTTTTGAGTAAAATTTATTTTCTTGAGTTTTTTTACTCTTCATGTGTGCTTCTACTTCCAGGAGGACTAACCGAGTTTGAATCTATAATCCTTAAAGAACGACTCATAAGGAAACATTGGGATTGTTGTCATCATTTTTTATGCAGTATATATTTCAGATAAATATCTCATTTGTTTCTTGAAAAACTTGAGTATGAGCTCATGCCACAATCTTATGGCTAATGACTTAATTCTCACCTCATTTGGCAACATTGTGCTTTTGGTATCAGAGATCTTCATCCTTAAGACATCCTTATCTCCATTTGAGGAGATTGGTGCCTCGATGTTGCCTTTCCAATTCCTTGGTGGTGAGCTATTCATCTTGAGAGCCTTTTTCATACGACACCAACATCATGACACTACAATTTCAATGCCTCAAAGTTGAACTATCTATCCATAAGGATTTCTATAAGGAATTAGCCCTTGATCCTTGCCTTCCCAACTCCTCAGAGTTATGATCTTTTCCTTGAGAGCAATCTTCATAAAGAATTAAAGCTTTGAAATTTCCTTTCCAGCAAATTGGTGTTGAGCTATATATCTTGAGAGCATTTTTTACAAGGTACGACTATCTTTACTCTACTTATCATGTGCTTCTATACTAAGCTATATATATCCAATGAGCATTTCTACTTGGCATTGGTGTTTCACTGCATCCTTGATACACCTAAAATATATAGCATTTATGTACAAATTTTTATACCTATTTTTGAGGATATTGTGCTCTAATAGAATGCATTTGTGTGTTTTTCTTTCAAGTACAATTAAGTGGATAAAATATGGTGAAAGCAGTGAAAAAGGATTAAATTTAAAGCAAAAATGAAGAATGTGTGAAAATGAACTATGGCGCCTAAGTGCCCAGGACTGACGCTTAAGTGTAAGGAAACAGAGAATGTCGAGCCTAAGCGTTAAAGACCTTGCTCTTATGCACTGGAGGTAGTTATGATGAAAATTCAAGAAATTTTGGACGAATTTCGAAGGGGTTTTTGAAGCAACTCTTGGTGAAAACGTGAATTATAGTTAATGGGCACGAAAATACATTGAAATGGCTCCTGAAAAGAAGAAAATCTTGGAAGATTCATTGAATGTGGAGACATTTTGAAGAGAAACCAAAGCACCTTTTGGAAAACTATAAAAAAAGGACTTGGATTGAAGAAGAAAGGAAGGAAAAAAGTGACGATAAGAGATATAAATATAGAAGACTTAGGATACATTTAGAAAGTAAGGAGTTGTAGGATCATACTTAGAGCTTATTCTCACTTTTCTCATTCCTAGTGAAGGAGAAAGTGATTAGATAGTTCAAAGTAAGAATCCATTGTAGTTTTTTAGTGTAATAGAGAGATGTTAACCGTCTAGGTTGGGCAACCAGACCCGGGGAGGATTGTAAGAGAAAGGAAGAGATTCAAAGGAACTTCAAGAGTTTGGTGGAGAGGAATTTGAGATAAGTTTTCATCTTTGTGAATATATTTAGTTTTAATTTAGAATTCTTGTGCTTTTACATGATTTCTACTTTTAAACTTAATTTCTGTTGTTTTCTCCATGAATTCTGAGTAGTTTTCCTTATCTTTTTTCCTTAAAATGAAAAGTAATTAAGTGTTGGAAGGAAGTTAAGTGAAGTATTGATCTATAATGCTGGAATAAGTTGTGATGATTTAATCCTTGTACTTCATTTACTTCTTGATTTGGCCAATTGAGATGTTAATATTTGTTGTGAGAACATGTAAGATCCGGAACATTGAGAACATGTAAGATCCGTGATGGTATTGCCTCAGTCAACTAAAAGTAAAATCACATGAGATTGTATGGATGAGAACGTAATTCGTATGGTTGAATGCAAATAAATAAGGAGATAAACTTTGAAGGGTGTAGAGTTAGAGGACTTTAGAGTGACAGGATAAAGCCCTCAATTCAGTCTATTATTTTAGGTTTTTATACGAGATGTTAGCCCCGTAGTGGAGAGAGAAGAGAGAACTCTAGAGTAGGAACTAGTATCTTCCTTATCTAGCCCGTCTTCAGGACTATTCAAACTTTAGATTAGCCAATGTTTTTTATAGCATCTCTAGTAAGGGTAAAGAATAATATTGCTCCTATTTAGCACAACACAATTTTAATACTACCACAACAAAATTCCTATACTTATTACTCATTCATGATAAGGAAAAAGATATTTTATTTTCATTGCTTTCATCTTACAAAAATCTAGTTAAATTTAGTCAGTTGTTTACCTTATCAAAATTACCATCCAATATTACTTGGTAAAGATACATATATGTGAGTAAAAAATCAATATTTAAATATAACAGTTGCACTCTTACTTGCTTCGGAAGCAAGTTTTTGACACTGTTGTATAGAAGAATTATAAATAAAGAGAATTGAAAATCTAACCACACATACA